ACCTGCTCCTGGCGCTGCTGGCTCGGAGGGCCGACCTGCGCCGAGGTGGGTGCCGCGGCTGCGCGCGGGGCCGGACGGGCCGCCCTCGCGGGTCCAGGCGTCACCCCGGGCCAGCCACGGGGTCCCCACGGTGGGGTGCGTTTCTGGATGCTCCCTGCTCTCCGGGCGAGTTGGGCAGGGGCAGCGCGCCCCGGATGTGGACCCCCGACCCAGGTCCCACGGCCGCACCCGCGCTCCTCGCCGGCCACCGCCCGCTGCTGGTCAGGCCCGGCCGCGCGGGAAGCCCGTCCCGAGGCCGCTGTCTCGGCGGCCCGGATGGCCACTCCGCGCCTGGCCCCGGAGAGAGAGGCTGGCGCACAGGGAACGGGGCCACGAAAGGGGTCGCACTTGTTGTGAGGTCGCCCTGAATCCATCGCCGCTTAGAAATTTATTTTCCAGGTTCCGGGGAGAGGTTGGCAGCTGGGGCTGGAGGGAGAATGGTGGGGTGAGAAGGAGGCAGGAGGGAGGTGGCTGCGGGGGTAGAGACCGCGCGGCCGGAGTCGCCAGGCAATGGGAGCCGGAGCGCAGGACCTCGCCAGGCAGACCCCTCAGTCGAGGGGGTCACCTCAGTCGAGGGGGTCACCGAGGCGCCTGGGCGCGGGGACACAGGGACGGCGGGGATGTAAAGATCGTTGGCATCGCGGTTGGTCTGGAGCGTCAGGGCTTTTGCCCCACGCGGGGTTCGCGGCGCTCGCCCGAGACGGAGCGCTGTCCGGGCTTCGGTGCTGAATTCGCGCTTCGAGAGCTCCTGTCTGATGTCTTGAGCTCCTTGAGGTCGCTGAAGGTCAGGGCACCCTGGCTGCCCATCCGAACCCGCGGCTTTGCCCCACGCGGGGCCAATCGCAGGTCTCCCGCTAGAGCAGGAGCGAGGCTTCGAGGGCTTCCATCCTCAGCCAAAATGAGCCCTTCCAGAGTCCTCCACACTCCTCACCCCCACCACCCGTCACCCACCCCCGGGAAGGGCCACGGAGGCGGGCGTGCCGCACCTGCACAGATCCCGGCTCCTGCGCGCCACTCTCCTTTCTTCAGGACTTGTGTTACATTAGCACGGAGCGTTCGGCCGCAAGTTCCTGGAAAGGCCCCTCCAGCCCCCACAGGGCTCCCTAGGCTTCCGCAGCAGCCCCAGGCTTTTGCTGGAGTGACTGAAGGTGCGCGGAGGCATCCACTGTGCGCCCTGGCACGGCTACTCGGGCCGTACCAGCCTGCTCACCAGGACCCTGCAGCTGCCCAGATGGGAAGGACTTCAGTCTTACCCTGGAGGCCTGCAGACAGCAGGGCAAGGCGGGCACCTCGCTTCCTGGGAGCGAAACGAAGCCCAGGTGCCTAGCTGTGTGAAGCAAAGCAGGAGGCGGCTGGGCAGAGGTGCCGGTGCTCCACTCACCAGCTTCAGGGGACAGGAAGGACATGCTTTCCCACGTTCTGCCCGAGCAGATCCGGGGATTGAGCGCAGTGAGCTCGGCATGCCTCCCGATTACTGGACACTTAGCATTCAGCCTCCTGGGATGGTGGGGCACTGTTCTGTGCCCAGTCACATCTCTAAAACCGTTTTGGTTTTCTTTACCTGCCACCTGCCTGGGGGCCGAGCTCCAGTTCCCTCCTGCTCTTGGGGAGCCAGGCAGCCACTGACGTGTGAAGCATGCGTGGGGACAGAAGGTCCCTGGCCACTCGGTCCCGACGGCCGGAAGGGAGCCTGGCTCAGCCTCCAAGAAGGGCTGGGAGCTCCTCCGACCGACCGGCCACACCTGTATCTGCAGAGATCCCGCTGTGCGCCGGCTGTGACCAGCACATCCTGGACCGCTTCATCCTGAAGGCGCTGGACCGGCACTGGCACAGCAAGTGCCTCAAGTGCAGCGACTGCCACACACCGCTGGCAGAGCGCTGCTTCAGCCGGGGCGAGAGTGTCTACTGCAAGGACGACTTCTTCAAGTGAGCGAGGGCCACCCCGGGTGGGGGACAGCGACAGAGAAGCAGCTGGGGCCCTTCGAAGGGGGCAGGCTGAGCACAGGGCCCGGGTTCTGGGCGCCCTTTCCCCTCCAGAAGGGCGCTGTGGGGCCAGCCAAGTGGAGTGAGGCCAGGGGCTACCCTGAGGGTGGCTTGGGCCTGGCTGGGTCGCCTGCAAAGGCTATGGGAAGGGAGCCATTTATTTTATAAATCATCGAACAGTTGCTTTAAAAGCAATTTGCAGACTCTTCTAGACTTACTACCTCTTAAATTGCACTTTTTTAACACTAGAAAGTTTTATTTGCAGAGCAGAGGTAATGCGGGTGCAGATCCATTCTGTCACTGTAGATTTAACTTTTATTGTTTAAAATTCATCTTAGTCTGTGTGCAGTACAGAATGACTCTGTGTAGGGGGGAGTTGGCCCAGGACGCGAGTGGCTCCCTCTCCCTGCATTCCTCCTTTCCTTCCTGCCCCCCTTTAGCCCTCAGCCCCAGCCCTTTTGCTTCCCCAGCGTTGATGCTGAGGACAGCTCAGGTTTGGCAGGCCGAGGTGCTGCCCTAGGTAGACCCTGGCCTCCCAATTCAGTCCTGCCAAGCAGAGCTGCCCATGTCTCTCCGGGAGGCCGGGCTCCTTCCCTATGCTGACAGTGCCTGGGGCTCTCCCCTCGGGCCAGGCCCAGTGTCAGCTCCCCTGTCCCGAGCTCCGAGACCCGCTCTGGGCGAAGGAGCTCTGGCTGAGCCCCTGTGCATCCCGCAGGCGCTTCGGGACCAAGTGCGCCGCATGCCAGCTGGGCATCCCGCCCACGCAGGTGGTGCGCCGTGCCCAGGACTTCGTGTACCACCTGCACTGCTTCGCGTGCGTGGTGTGCAAGCGGCAGCTAGCCACGGGTGACGAGTTCTACCTCATGGAGGACAGCCGGCTGGTGTGCAAAGCGGACTACGAGACAGCCAAGCAGCGAGGTCAGCGGGGAGCTTCAGACGGACGTGCTTGCCTCCCGCACCATCCTCCAGGCTCCTGGAAAGCCTGTGTGTGAAGGAGGGGTCTGGAAGGGGGCCGGTTGGGCACCTGGATGCCACTCTGAGTTGGGCCAGACCACCAATCCGAGCTGCTCTGGAAGCGGCGGGAATCAAGGTCTTGGGCGGGGCCTCACTCCCAAGTCTGAATTCTATGCCTAACGCCCTGCTGTGAGTTCTCCTCTCACATCCTTGGCTGCAAAGCCACAGCCTTCTGTGTTCTCAGATGCTGGGAACAGAGGCCCTAGCACTGGGGCTGCCGCCGCCCTGCGATGGGGGCCTTGGCTCCAAGCCCCTCTCCCTGCTCCCTCCACTGTGCAATTTTTCATTTCTCTCCAAGCCCGCACGCTCCAGGAAGTTCTCTGGCAGACCTGGGACCCTGGGGTGCTGGGGTAGGCATTTAGAGTGTGGTACATGGGGGCTGGGGCAGGTGGCCTCACCGCTCACTCATCTGGTGCAGAGGCTGAGGCCACTGCCAAGCGGCCGCGCACAACCATCACAGCCAAGCAGCTGGAGACGCTGAAGAGCGCGTACAACACCTCGCCCAAGCCTGCGCGCCACGTGCGGGAGCAGCTGTCCTCTGAGACCGGCCTGGACATGCGCGTCGTGCAGGTCAGCGCTTGCCCAGGGGGCGGGGGCAGGCGGGGGCTCGCAGACGTGGAGGAACCACCGCGGGTCCCTCATCATCTCGCCCCCAGGTCTGGTTCCAGAACCGCAGGGCCAAGGAGAAGAGACTGAAAAAGGACGCGGGCCGGCAGCGCTGGGGACAGTACTTCCGAAACGCGAAGCGCTCCCGCGGGAGCTCCAGGTCTGACAAGGACAGCATCCCTGAAGCACAGGACAGTGACGCCGAGGTCTCCTTCAGTGGTAGGGCTGGGTCTCTTCGGGGCTGTTGGCTGGGAGTGACACAAGTTCCACGGGTCGCAGGCACCTGGGACACCAGGGTTCCTGCCTGGCACACTCCCCTGGCATTCACACGGAGCCCAGGTCCCACCCCCGGGCCTGTGGCGGACTGGCCCCTGGGAACATGATCCTCCCAGTGACCCGTCAGCACCCCTGTGACCTGGCTTGTCCCTAAGCTGGGCACTTGCCTGGCACCTGCTACAGGGGGCAGATGGCCCAGCCTCTCCGGCCACAGCCCTGCAATGATTCTGGGAGCCTGGGCAGGACGTTTGGAATAAATGGCAAAAACCTGTCTGCTTGAAGTTTGGGGAGGAGAGATGGCGCCTTCCCTCCTGGGGTCTGCGTGCTCTGGTCTCCACAGTGGAAATTTACCCAGCGCTAATGCCACCTGCTTGGGGCTTTGTGACCCTTGCCCAGGCTCTCTGGACCAAAGTTTCCTGTCTCTAAAAGGGGGGGTGGTGCCGCTGGGGCTGCCAGTGGGATCTCCACCCAGGGGGAGCCCACATTCCATAACTACATTCCGATCAGGATAGGTGAGGGGAACTAGGCCTGGCACACCTGAGGCACAGAGGCTGCTGTGAGTTCCAGAGCGAGTGGAAGGGGCTCTGGTACCCTGCGCCCACCCGCCAGACCTCCGGGCCCTGGGGGGGGGGGCTGATCGGCACTCTCTTCTTCTGCAGAGGAGCCATCTCTGGCTGAAATGGGTCCCGCCAGCGGCCTGTACAGCAGCCTGGGGGAGCCTACCCCTGCCCTGGGCCGGCCAGCAGGCACCCTGGGCAGCTTCGTGCTGGAGCACGGAAGTCTAGCCGGCCCCGAACCTTACCGAGAGCTGCGCCCTGGCAGCCCCTACGGCATCCCTCCATCCCCTGCCGCCCCGCAAAGCCTTCCTGGCACCCAGCCCCTGCTCTCCAGCCTGGTGTACCCTGACGCCAGCCTGGGTCTCGTGCCCTTGCCAGCCCCAGGCAGCACCCCGGCCATGAGGGGGCTTGCGGGTAATGGACCCAGCTCGGACCTGTCCACTGGGAGCAGCGGGGGTTATCCCGACTTTCCTGCCAGTCCGGCCTCCTGGCTGGATGAGGTGGACCATGGTCAGTTCTGATTGAGGCCCTGGCACCAGCCAGCACTGGACATGAGGGTGGGTGGCACTGCCAGGCCCCAAGGACCTGGAAGGGAGCCCAGACAAGGATGTCCAGGGAGGGCTGCGGTCTGTGAAGCCCCCGGCTGCTGCCTGATCCTCCTCGGCAGCTGGGCTGTGCTCCCCAGGGCTCCCGCCTCCTCCTCCTCCTGCTCTGAAGGACAGAGGCGTGGCTGCCTGTGGCTTCGCAGAAGCCGGGACTGTGGCGGCTGCGTTTTGTAAGCAGACCTCTCCTCGCTGTTGCTGTCGGGTTGAGCTTCGGCTGCTGTTTCAGACCTAAAACACCCAGGGCCGGGCCTCAGCCCCCCTCGGTTGGAAATGCTTTAACGGCCGACAGGAAAGATGCTAATGACTGTTTTCATTTCCCGGGCTCCAAACAGCGCTGGGTCGTTGACCCTTGACCCCCAGGGGTCGGAGGTCAGGCTGTGGGTCCAGGCTGAGGTGGGAGGGAGCCAGGCTGGTGTCCTCTGTGGCCTAGAATGGGACCTCGGGGCCTTTCCTCTCTTGGGGCCCTGGGCCTCCTTGTCACCAGGTCCCCTCCCGTGGGCCTTTGCAACCACCTCGGTCTCCAGCGCCCCATGGAGGAGGTGGGAATTCCCAGGGTCCGCCACAGAGTCCCCACCATCAGGTCGCCCTCCCTCTTGGTGGTGTCCAGGCTCTGCCCAGGGCTCAGGTGCCAAATAGCCAGCTGTCCCCAGGGCAGTGGGCGGGGCTACCCCTCACATCATTATTCTGGGAGGCACCTGCAGCTGCAGCATTAGTTTGGGGCCACCTGTTGGTTCTGTGAACGTCCTGTGACTTTTATTTATTCTCTAGTGATCAGCTCTTTCCAAGACTTCAATAAATTTGTCAGTTGCCGTCTGTGGAAAGCCGTGTTTTTAGTGGGGCAGGGGTGTGGCCAAGGGGGCAGAGGTCATCCTCTGAGAGGTATGGGGTGCTGTCCCTCGCCCAGCTGGCATCAGATGTGAGCGTGGGCTTCTGTGAGCTCTGTCCTCGGTCATGAGGAGCTGGGACCTCAGGGAGCTGCCCCGTGGGTCCCAGTGTTGGCGTCTACCCGTTGGAATGATTTGGCCACTGCCACAGGGTGTCACCAACTTGACTTCCGGTACCTGCTGGCCAGAGACCTGCTGTGTGACCCAGGACCCCTCTGTGCTGCTTGCTCCTTGTAGACAGGACAGAGAAGCCTGCCCCCATAAGGGGATCAAAGGGGAGTCAGGCAGGTGGGATGCTCTCCCTGGATGGACTGCTTCAGGGCCTCCTCTCTGAGGGTTCCCTGGGGTGGGCAGGGTCCACAGCCTTCCCTGGCCTTCCCACACGTGCAGAATCTCAGGCTGGGTGGGGGGACAAGATCGGCATCCATACTTGCTTAGGGGAGAAGGGTCTGGCAGAGAAGACTGGGACAAGGGCTCCCAGGATCTGGAGAGAAAGAGAGAGGATGGCCCTTGGGCTCTATCTCCTGGCCCCAACTGAGAGAAGGAGGGAGGCTTTGACTAGTGCTGGGAACTGCAGGGGAAAAAGGAGCTGGAGGAAGCTGAGCACCCCTTCCCCAGGGCAGAGCCAGTGTGTTCTTGGGAGCCCCACCCGGCTCCCTCCAGCACGGAGGTGACCAGAGGAGGCCATCTTGCCAGTTGGCAGGTGGGTGGGTGGGACGTGGGCACCCACAGACAGCATCCTCCAGAGGCCTGGGCAGTGCGTGCACAGAGGGCAGGGCCCATGGCGCATAGGGGGTGACATGGAGTGCCCCACTCAGGGACAGCAGCTGGAGTCACTGGATTCCCAGGGAAGGGGTGGGTTGAAGACGGCGCCACCTGGGCCAAACAAATCCACCCGTCCACCCTTCCTCCCTTGTCCCCAGGACTTTTAGGCTCTGACAGGTTCCTGAGGTTCCTGCCAGCATGCTCCCTTTAGCTGGATGCATGAATGAGCTCCAGGAGAGGGCTCAGGGCTGGGCTGCCCCCACCACATGCAGACTGAGTTACCTGGGGGTCAGCAGGAGGCCCAGACTGGTCCCTGAAGGCCCACCTGTGTCAGCGCTGCTGCTTCAGTTTCCTGCCTGAATGGAGCATGGCCCAACTCACATTCATGGGCCAGCCCAGGGCAGAGACTCAGCGGCCGTGACCCCAAGGCCCCCAGTCCAGTGGGCACCCCCAGGCCCCACCCCAGAGGCGGGCTCCCTTGGCCGGAAGTCTTAGGCTGGAATCCACTGTGCTGGGAGGAGTCCGTGGCCACAGCCAGACCCTGCAGACAGGGTCCCTAGCGGCCCTGCACCCTAGCAGACCAAGAGAAGCTGCGGTGCGGGGTGAGGATTGGGAGTTGTTCCCTTTCTCCTGCCTGCCTCTGGTCCAGCCATCCGGGATGCCCAGGTTCTTCTTAACTTTGAGTTCTGTTTGCTTTGCACTGGAAACGTGAACAGTGATGCCCAGCACAGAAATGGGCCTCCTTCCTCCCTGGTCGAAGTCTGCATGGGGCTCCAGGCTTCAAGCACCCCTAACCAAGCCCAGAGATGCCCCTGCCCTTCCCCTCCTCGCCATCTGCCAGGGTGGCAGCACAGGGGCTGGGACCCGATCCTAATAAATCAGTGGGTTTTCAAAGGCTTTGGCTTGAGGGCTGAATCCCAGGAGGCTGTAATGATCAATTCTTTAGGCCAATAATTGTTCAAATTACTCTGAGCAACATACAACATTAATTTTAAGAAATTTAATAGAAAAAAAGCTCTTTAAATCTGTGACGAGATGAATGACACCCGTATGGAGACCCTCTTCCATGCCTTGGTGACATTGAAAAATCTGAAAGTTATTTACATTTTCATTCTTCGAGGGCAATGTTGACAAGCTTTTGGCTGAGGGCGCGGTGGGCCGTGCTGGGCGCGCTCCCTCCCCCCTAATTAATGGGGGAGCCACGACATCATAAGCAGAATTTTCATCTGTCTGCAGCGACCTGGTGACGGCTCCCACCTCCCGTGGCTGACGCCACAGAGGCCCATTTTTTACCATAAAAATATTTCATCCTGACCCGCAGGGACCCCTCTCAACATTCAGAAGTGAGTGAGAAAGACAAAGCTGCCGCCTTGGGGTATGTGGTGAGCCAGACAACCCAGGGGAGCCTAGAGCTCCGTGGCCCCCAGAGTCCAGTGGGGCACGTGCTGTGTGTGGCAGCATCCTGCAGGGCCCAAGCCCTCAGTGCCAGAGACCTCCCATCCCCGGCAGGGGTGTCACAGGGCTTGTGGGGTGCCCCTGCCTGCCAGCACTGCGTGGAGCTGGTCCAGGACCTGGCTCTGTCTCGGCTGCGTCTCGCTTGCCAGCCTGTGCAGGGCGGCGGGTGTGACCTTTCCCGTGACCGCAAGGCAAAGGTGGGGAGTGGGCATGAAGTGTACACACACACACACACACACACACACACACACACACCCCGCACACAGACACACGCTCTCCACGCACACTCCGGGATGGATGAGGGTCACACCGGTCACACTGCCTGAGGTGCGATGGGGGCTTCCTGCGGAGCTTGCTGTCCTCCCCCTTCCAGCCCCGTCGGCTTTCCACTAGGGGTGCTGCTCAGGAGGTTGTGACTGGGGGGGTGCGCGGCAGCCTGGAGCCCACTCAGCGCCCCGCCACAGCAAGTCACTCTGCTTGTCTCTGGGCTTCGGTTTCTGCCTCCGTTTCGGCGAGCAATTCCAGCAGCGGCGAGCGTTAGCTGGTGGTCGTGCGAGGCCCTGGTCATCAGGAAAGTGCAAGTCAGGAGCAGGGGTCACATCTCCAATCCTGGCGGCTGGGGCAGAAAGCCCGGGTGCTGGGCTGGACTGTGGCCGCCGGTGAGGCGGCGCCCCATGGTTCCTCCCTGCACCACAGAAAAATCAAACCCTAGACCAGAAAGCTGCAGAAGACCAGGGAGGCTGTGGAGAAGCCAGCCCCTGTGCACGAGTGGATGGCTGCTGTGACCCAGCTGCCACAGGAAGGTGGGATGGTCTTTCGTGGAAAACAAGCTGAAGCCCGGTGTGGTGGCACAGGACGATAATCCCAGTGCTGTTGGCAGTTGAGTTAGACAGAAATTACAGGCGGTTGGACGGGGCTGGAGCCAGCGAGGCAGGAGAGCTACCTCCCAACTGTGGGAGAGACAGGTGGGCAAGCCGGACATCAAGGCAAAAGATGAAACAAATGTGGCCATGTACCTCCCTGGGGATAGAGCTCAGGGACTGGTATTCTAAATAGGTATCAGTCACCTTAAGAGAGCCAGGAAGAGCCCCTAAGCCAGCCCCCTCCAGGAAGAGCCCCTAAGCCAGCCCCCTCCAGGAAGAGCCCCTAA